GGGCGCTCTCCCATAGCCATGTTAAACGCTCAGCAGGCTAAGGTACACAAGCTCTGCCAGCTGCAGTCATCTTCATAAATAAACAGTATGTCTCACTTTTTCTTTTTCTTTTCTTTTTTTTTTTTGAGACAGAGTTTCACTCTTGTTACCCAGGCTGGAGTGCAATGGCGCGATCTCGGCTCACCGCAACCTCCGCCTCCTGGGTTCAGGCAATTCTCCTGCCTCAGCCTCCTGAGTAGCTGGGATTACAGGCATGCGCCACCATGCCCAGCTAATCACTTTTTCATAAAATGTTTAACAACACTGTGGCTAAAACACTTCAAAGCAAACCCTATGCTGCATGTCTGCTTCTCCCCTAAGCTTCTCTGCTTGGGGATAAAGTAATAAAAAGCCGAGTATATTTGCAGCACCTTACCTAACAGGGCTGGCTCCAAGCGTAAGTGGCCTGCAATTAAAGCAGCCTTCCCCCAGTCTGGTACCCTCTAGCTTCCTGCCCCTGCGCTTCTATGTGCACTTTACCACCTGGTCATTCTCTAGCCTCGCTGCCACCTGTCATCGTCCTTCCTTCCTCTAAGGGTAAGAGCAGCAGCAGGTGGCAGGATATTAAAGATAGGCCGCTTCAAAAGCCCATAGCAAAAGAAAAAACTGGCCCCAGCCCTGCCTTCCCAAGCTCACTTCTAAAACATTCCAGCTAAAGGCTAATGCAGAAAAATTGCCAGAACTAAAAACATTTAAACAATATTTTGGGGGAGGGTTCTCATTATTTTACACACTTAGGTTAACTCAATGTAGGTTTATTATCCTAGCAACTTATATCATTCTGATAACTTTAAAGGGCCTAAATATGGGAGAAATCGTTTAAAATATCCATGCCTTTTATGCCTTAATTTAACAAATAGGTTTTACCTTTGTTCATTTATAATATCATTAATTTTTCATTTTTTCATTTTTTATTTTTTGAGACAGAGTTTAGCCTGTTTATTTCAGGCTGTAATGGAGGGGTGTGATCTCGGCTCACTGCAACCTCTGTCTCCTAGGTCCCAGTAGAAGCATTTCTCCTGCCTCAGCCTCCTGACTACCTGAAATTACAGGCACACACCACCATGTCCACTAATTTTTGTATTTTTAGTACAGACAGGTTACCACCATATTGGCCAGGCATGTCTTGAACTCCTGAACTCTTGATCCACCCACCTCAGCCACCCAAAGTGCTGGGATTAAAGATGTGAAACATCATGCCTGGCCTTATCTTTGGCCATTTTGGTATTTTATATGTTATGTACCTGTCTATAATCCCTCTAAACATATAAAAGAAGCCACAAACAGCTTCTCTTCTCATAAAAGGATGCCAGCTTTGTGTCTAATTATCAAAATATAATCCTGCTATTCTTTTCCTACCATTAAGCAAAATACAATTTCATACCTCTCAGTGTGTAATTTTAATTAGCAAATAGCAATAGCTAACTTTATTAGTAATATCAGCTTTCATTTACCAGCCTCTAAGCTTCTAAACTTGTTACAAACTGTGCCTGTGAAATTTGTGTCTATTGTTATCTCTCAGCCCTTGCTTCAGGCTGCTACTGTCTTTACAAATGGTCCAAAACTACGGCAAAAAACAGCTAGTGTGGCAAAATGCCATGCGAAATTAGCAACACAAAATCCAAAACCATTTTAAAACTATGCAACAAGCCAAGTTGAGTGCCCTAATGATTGCCTTACAAATGTTTCCTCACGAAAATAGTAATTCTGCTTATGCAGTATAGAGTATTACTCATTTAAATTTTGCACGTCGGCCAGGTGGGTTGGCTCACGCCTGTAATCCTAGCACTGTGGGAGCCTGAGGTGGGCAGATCATGAGGTCAAGAGATCAAGAGCAACATGTCCAACATGGTGAAGCCCCGTCTCTCCTAAAACTACAAAAATTATCTGGTCATGGTGGCCGGTACTTGTAGGCCCAACTACTCAGAAGCTGAGGCAGGGGAATTGCTTGAACTAGGGAGGCAGGGGTTGCAGTGAGCTGAGATTGCACTACGTACTCTTGGCTAATGACAGAGGGAGACTCCGTCTCAATGAAAAAAAAAAAAATCAAAATTTTGCACATGTTGTTCCTGGAATTTCTCCTGACAAGAAACCCAAATGGCACTCAGAGTGTCAGAGGACAACAGTTTATTACACCAGCAGGCCCAGACAGGTGAGCACCCAAAAGTCTGGACCCGGGTCTAAGTGAGTACACAGTTCTTACAGGTTAGGGGCAAGGGAAGTAACTCACGATTTTCAGGCAATGGAGCAATTGTGCAGGGGGATTTTCGCTAGTAAGCAGGAAGCAGATGTATAGAAGAACAAACGCAGGTAAGGTAGCTGAGGCAGCTATTTTAGACACTCAGGAAATTTTCCTCACAGGCCTTCCATCTTATCCACCCCTTTGATGCTCTTTATGTTACATGTGGAGTATCACCTTTTACAAATCAACATCTGTGCTCAGGGGCTTGTATCCCCAAAAGGCTAGCAACTGGGCAGTTGTCTGACAACCGTGGCTTCCGTGAAGCACTGGAGTATGTTAATCACAGAGGGACCAAAGGTAAGGACCAAAAAGATTACTAGTAAAGGCCCAAGGAGGGGAAGAGCCCAGTGGATCCAGGTTCGGAGCCCTGGGAAGCTCCAGCTGCTGACTGTGCGCCGCCTTTGAACGCGGTCCCTTAGCTCTTTAACTTCCTGTTACTACTCCTGACTGATTGACACAGTAGTAACACCCTTCCTGTAGAAGAGGCAGGTAACTGCCTTCTGAGCCAGAAGCCCAAGGCTCTGCATTTTGTAGGACTACTGTGGCTAGGGAATTTAACTGCTTCTGGAGGGAGGCCAGGGAATTGGCCACCCTTTCCATGTCATCATTGAGTTCCCAGGACAGTTTATGACAGAAATGGGCTGAAGTGCCAATGCCTCCTATTGTGGTCCCTATCCTGGCTGCTGTTCCAGTTCCTACTAAGAGGGGAAGTAACGCAGCTGATTTGGACCAGTAGTAGTGAGGATTTAGAACCATTTTAATTTTTTGGTCCACGGAAAATGAGATTTCTGTGGTTAGGAATGCCCGGATATACACCCCCCTCCAGTTTGCAACTAAACATACGTTTGTCTACCTGCTGCAGAGGAAGAAGATGCTGGGGGGAGCACACTGGGTCTTCACATTGGAGAGGGGGATAGTTGTTGTACAAGGCAGGCGTGAGAGGTTGTCAATTACAGGTGATGAATTACTACTGATGGTCTTGGACACTCATTACCGTTGTAAGGATGGCCTCCAGTGTGAATTCTAGTATTTTCTGCCAGGTATGAATCATGCTAGAAACCCTTGTCACAAAGCTTCCATTTGTTAATTCTCCCCAGTGTGAAGTCTACGATGATATGTAAGGTGTGACTTTCGAATGAAGGTCTTGCCACACTCATTACACTTGTAAGGTTTCCCTCCAGTATGAAGTCTACGATGGTATACAAGATATGACATCTGACGGAAGGTCTTGCCACATTCATGACACTTGTAAAGTTTCTCTCCAGTATGAAGTCTACTACGATGGTATGTAAGGGATGCCAACTGATGGAAGGTCTTGCCACACTCATGACACTTATAAGGTGTCTCTCCAGTATGAAGTCTACGATGGCATGTAAGGGATGATGTATGACTGAAGGTCTTGCCACACTCATTACACTTGTAAGGTTTCTCTCCAGTGTGAATTCTAGCATGTTTTGCCAGGTATGAATCACATGCAAAAGCCTTATCACAAACCATACATTTGTATGGTTTCTCTCCACTATGGATTATCTTATGCATTTCAAGGTGTGATTTGCGAGTGAAACCTTTGTCACATTTTTCACATTTGTAAGGTGTCTCTCCAGTATGAAGTCTACAATGGCATGTAAGGGATGACTTCTGATTGAAGGTCTTGCCACACTCATGACACTTGTAAGGTTTCTCTCCAGTATGAAGTCTATGATGGCAGGTAAGGGATGACGCCTGACTGAAGGTCTTGCCACACTCGTGACACTTGTAAGGTTTCTCTCCAGTATGAAGTCTACAATGGCATGTAAGAGATGACAATTCATGGTAGGTCTCGCCACACTCATTATACTTGTAAGGTTTCTCTCCACAATGAAATCTACGGTGGCATGTAAGGGATGACTTTCGACTAAAGGTCTTGCCACACTCATTACACTTGTATGGTTTCTCTCCAGTATGACGTCTATGATGGTATCTAAGGTATGATACCTTATTAAACCTCTTGCCACACTCATTACACTTGTAAGGTTTCTCTCCAGTATGAAGTCTAAGATGGCATGTAAGGGATGACATCTGACTGAAGTTCTTGCCACACTCATGACATTTGTAAGGTTTCTCTCCTGTATGAACTCTGCGATGTCGTAGAACACATGACTTGTGACTGAAGGTCTTGCCACACTCATTACACTTGTAAGGTTTCTCACCAGTGTGACATCTACGATGGCTTTCAAGACATCGCTTCTCATTAAAGACCTTGCCACACACATCACATTCATATTGTTTCTTTCCTAAATGGTTTATCTGTTTCCTTAAGAACGAGCTACAATTGAGGTTGTCATTGGCTGAAAAGAAAAAAAATAAATGAATAAAAAATAAATGAAAAGAATGAGCTAATTAAAGCCTTTCCCACTCTTATTTTTTTTTTTGAGACGGAGTTTCGCTCGTTACCCAGGCTGGAGTGCAATGGCGTGATCTCGGCTCACCGCAACCTCCGCCTCCTGGGTTCAGGCAATTCTCCTGCCTCAGCCTCCTGAGTAGCTGGGATTACAGGCACGCGCCACCATGCCCAGCTAATTTTTTTTTGTATTTTTAGTAGAGACGGGTTTCACCATGTTAACCAGGATGGTCTCAATCTCTTGACCTGTGATCCACCCGCCTCGGCCTCCCAAAGTGCTGGGATTACAGGCTTGAGCCACCGCGCCCGGCCACCTTTCCCACTCTTATGACATTGGAAAGATTTTTCTCTCATGTGTACTTCCTGTTTCTGTACACACGTAATGAAGAATGGAGGAAATTATTGTCATGGTTATTAGAAATATGGGTTTTGGCTATACAAAAAATTATT